AGAGAGTACTGGGGGTGTTGGAAGAAAAGTAATTAGTAAAGGCCATTTTCTCTAACATATAGAATAGGAATACAAGTGAATCAAGAAGAAATTCTTCAAAACCCTCACTGCTCTTTATACTTTATTCTTCGTTCCTTATTCTCCGTCTCACAAAACGTTGGTACGCGTGCCGCTTGACTGAAAAAAGTACTAGTCAAGCACACTTTAAATGATTGGAAAATTCACATTATTTGGCACCCGTATCGTATTGTCAGTACTATCGTTATGTATCATAAACAGTGTAATTATAGGTGAACTATAGTAATTTATATTTGGGCGCTGAGAAAATATTCGTCAACAACAACCTGGTGCTGCCCCCACCGTGTATCACCAGTAGCGGCGATAGATCGTCCACGCTTGTCCCATTTGTCTATTGGCTCTTGTAGAAAAGCGAAGGAATGATATTAGTAGAATCCGAAAACTTTAATTTGTGTTTTGAATTTTATTAGTCGTTTGGGCTACCATAATTGGGCCACTCGAAAAACAGGAAAACCGGAACTTTTGAGACGAGAGCATCACGGGAATCTAGATAAAGAAGAAAATAGGTCACAGATAATCCTAACAAATTACATGGGCATCATCACCGCACAAGAGGACTCGAGGTAAACATTTGTGAGGGAGCGGAATGATTTAACGATCAGAGTGCACACTGGGGTTTACCAGACCCCACGCCGTTAAGTTTTCACTGTAAAATTTGTTTTGTGCTTAGAAATGGACTGGTGTAGCAATTTATATTTTTTTTTGACGTCTCCCCTACAGGATAGGGAGAAATTCTCGTTTAGTAACTCCCTGAACCTTGAAGGGTACAGATTTAAAGTAGTCGAGGGGTCCGATAGACCCCAGTATAGAGTCTATGTAACTTTTTGGTTCGGTGATTAGATTTTTATTTTGTTTATTTTTTTACTTTTAAGTTTTTAACTACTTTATAGTGTAATTTGTAAATAATTGTAAGCCCCACAACTTGGGCTTTTTTTTTAATATTTGGCAATGCAAATTGTAATGCGTCTTCGAGACTCAATATTGCATTTGGATGTCCCATCGCCCCAACTAGACACCCGACCGCGTAAAATGCGATGCAGCTTTTGCCCAGAAAATGCAAATCGGAAAACGATATTCGTCTGTCGAGTCTACTCTCACGCAATTTGCGAAAAGGATCGGATGAAAATGTGCCTAACCTGTTCCAGGGAGCATTACTTTGTATCGTTCTTTTTTCTGTATACATTATTAAAATCATATGTTTCTAAATACAAAAAAATAAAATGATCCAATGAAACTCGCCATTGACACTCTTACCTTCTTTCCCTCAGAAACGCCTTTCCAAATTTCATCATTCTCACCTCTCTGGATAATTCAACTCTTTACGGTTGATCTAGCTGCCCTAATTTTTTTATTGAACACTGGTCCTTAAGCTTTAAGAAACTCACTGATGCAGAATTAATCTTAAGGTTTTTATACGCAGGTATTGTTTTGTATTTCGAAGTATCAGTTTTGCTACAATTCAAACTATTTTCCTTCGAGTTTTACTCAGATCTGCTGGTAAAGGTGGATGGTTTTCTAGCCCTAACCAAAGGACGCATTGAATTAGCTCGATAAAATGCTGGATGACTATTTAATTTGTATAGAATCAGCCTGTAAAGATGTTTCGAGCATATTTCCTATGAGCTATTTTCTAACTACCGCCTACCTTGAGACTCAGCAAATACGCCCAAACCAGCCCCAGTCGACTATTTCTACCCAGGACTTCAATATCAAATATTATTATTACTTGTTATATTCAACATAGACAAGCACTTATGCCACAGTCCACGTGAGCTTATAGTGACTACTAAAATATAACTCACTTTAACCAAGAATTACCCTACAGCGTCCTTTCACAAACCTTTCACCTGGTTGACATCCATTTTTGATAAAGGCTGTGTCAAGTACGACTTCTATTTCATTGTCTTCTCTCTTCTATTCGAATGGATGTTAAGGATATTTCCGACGAGGTTAACCGCGTACCGATACTACTGTAGCTAGACATTCCGGTCCATTCTTAGTCGCATCCGTGGCATCGGATAGTAGGGTACCCAGCCGTAGTAAAGAAATAAAAAACAATGAACACTTCATAATTATTAATAATGATCGATTCCAATAATAAGATTGAACAAATTTTAGCGGCGAAAAATTTAAAACTTTTTTTTTCTCTTTCGTAAGCTGCTAATCAGCCGAGTGTAACTGAGACTCATTAACGGCACGTTTAAGCTACATAAATATTTGAAAACTTTTCCAGCGTACTTACGTATCTCAAGTAATGGGTTTAAAGACCAGCGATGTCGAATATTTCTTAGTACTGTATACACATTGCGTCATTTTTTCCTTATGTATTTTCCATTCATTATCCGGTTAATATTAGCATTCTGTTTTTACAGCATATCAAACCTATATTATTATCTCTGTACACAATCTTCATAGATATAGCCATAAATAGACAGTGCGGTTTGCAACGATTAATAATTATAAAAATCTTATAATCCCAGAACATGATGCGGGAACGAAGACTTCTGGAAGCTATTACAAGGCTGTTATCCACTTTCGCTTTTTGAACAGACTCCATCAACTTCTGTATATCTTGTTGAAAGTTCTCGAAGTGACAGATTCAAAGGGCGGGATACGTATAGTGGATATTCGAGTACGAGGTATTAAATGAAATTCTGTAAAGTGCCAATTTCTCTTGAAAATCCATCATTTATTTATTACTATTAATTGAGAATCTACGTCAAACGCTATTCGATACTAAGCAAGGAGTATCATGTAAATTGGTGAAAAAAAGATGATTTAGTAACTCGACTGTACGTTAAGGTTAACGGGGACATAATTCCCAGAAAATGTACATATACAGCTCAAAAGACGTCTTTGAGATGTTCTTAGCAACACAGTCTTTTAGATGGATCCACTTTCTCCGTATTACGTTGTTCGCATTGTACACGTGTAGGTATAATATAAATATATAACGTGCCTTCAGTCACCTATAGAAGCTACGGTAATAAATAATTACTTTAACTATTGAAAGTCTATAGGGATTCGTTGCTTTGACGTGAAACAACTACTAGAACGTGATAGTGCTTATTAATGTCATTACTATAATTCAGAAGTGCCTAATTGTGTAAATTACATAGACAAGTAATCACGTTATAGGAATACAATAATACATGAAATATAACGTATCCAAAACATATATTGTAAACTAAATGTGGTTATATAATATTTTTTCAAAATTATATTTCACTTAGTCCGCACAACGCTACTTAAAAATTTTTTAAATTAACGATAAGAGCATTCCCCACACTAGTTATCGCTACTGTAAATATAGTACTCATGCCAATGCTGATCATGTTATGCACACGTGATATATAGAGTATACTTCGTAGTACGCGAATTTTCTAGAAATGATCAGTTAACAGTGAGAAACTTATTAATTTCCAGTAGTTACTTTCTCTAAGGACAGATATATTCCCAAGAGCTTCTGTATTTCCAGCCGTTTTTCTGCAACCTCCGTTCGGCATGCGTTTTTAGTATCCAGGACAGGATCATCGTACAGCTTTTTTCTAAGTTCTAAAACAGCCAAAGATCAATGATCCACCGCCGATTTAAATATCATCAGCACACGGATTACCACAATGACACGTAACGACGACGTACTAATAGATTATACTGTTCGTATTCTCTTTAGACGGTTAACGTGTAGCCCCGTTACACAGTTAGTTAGCGACTCCTAACTAGGAACGAAGTAACTATTCTCTAAAGTGGTTCACGCTACTCCTCATAAATGCGTAGTTCCTAGTGCGGTTTTTCATCTGGTTCCGATTACTTTCTCGACCCCATCTTCCATCTTGGCAGATTTATGGTTTCGATCCATTATAATTTATATTTCGTCACGTCAAGCTGCTTTACTTCTGTGAGACTTGGGTCGAAGGTTTTCGACAAATAGAACGTGTCTTAAAAGTTCATACATTATGTACATAAAGTTTCGTACATCTTACAGGCTTTATTATATGTATATTATTGTAACAGCAGGTACAGATTACAATCTATATCTGTACATATGATATTAGAAATAGATGTACTGTATATAACGATATACGTAACACTGCACGTCGTTTGTAGTCTTGAATCACTCCACGCCTGACCCATAATCCCATTCATGATTTACATATGAATGTTGTCAGCAGACATATTGCTTGGTAAAACGAAATAAGACCATCTTCATTTCATTTTATTCGTTACGTGCGTACGTACGCGGGTTGCATATCTCGGCATGTATTTCAGTGTACGTATAAAGAAAAAGTCCAGCAAAATTGGTACTGCTGATAGGCCGTACGTGCACAGCAATATATGCTTGGATATTGGATATTTGTGTGTATGCATGCAGTCATTACTGGGATCGTCCATTACTTTTGTTTTCTTATAACGCGTCTTCAATATCAATTAGCAGCAAAATTCAATTCTGTGCTGTGACACATTTTCATAATCAGATTCAGTATATAGCATTGTAGGCATAACAGCGTATTCGTCATTTTTGCTAATGTCATTCTTATCGATTTTCTTTCCGCTCCCGTATAAATCCAAATAGCTTATTTTATATACGGAGGAAAAAAGGTAATGAAAATACGAGATCAATTTATTTACAGCTGCGCTCTGTTATAGGCATAGGCATGAACTCAGTGATTTCTAGATCGTTACTTTATTCCTGCGCACGATCGAATTTTCACGGGGGTCTTTTGGCACCGATGAGTTCGTTTCTCATGGATCGCTGCCCGTCCTTCAGGATGACGGATAGCCGTGCGATATCCGTGGCAAAATCTCCCCTTGTGAAATGACCTTCGACCCGGGAATCAACTTCGAGTCGAAGGTTCAGGAGCACGCGAGAGCCGAAGGCGGTCTGGTTTCTAGGTCCTAGATAGTTTTTGGGAAAATAAAGGGTAGTCCTTCGATTAGTGTGTATATACGTATAGATATAATGTTTCATGCCAAATTTTGAATTACCGTTAACACTCATGATTTCTTACCGAAGATGGAAGCTGTATGAGGGTTAGTTATAAATGCCTGCACGTATTTACACATAAACGAATTTACACTCTTAAAATATTTTACGCAAAAAATATGTTGAATCAAGAAAATGTATGTGCTCTTGTAATATTTCACACACCTTATTGTTGAAACAACAATATTAGTTATGTTTGCTTTTTTGGAACAGCAAGAAAAATGTTGCGCCGAATTGATTTTTTAGTTGAACGTTATTAAAGTGCTATTACTAATAATTTGTTTAAATCAATATTTTCTCGTAATTTATAAGTATATGCTATTATTAACATTGCAATAGTTGTGCTTTTTTTCATGGTATTATAGATACCTTTTATATCGACATCTTGCAGAAAATTCACCATTAGATTATGTCATGCAGCAAAGCTTTTTCGATTCGGGATTCTCTCGCGTACTTGTTGTAAAAAGCACTACGTCCCAGCTGCACTCTGCCGGACCTCCCCTGAAACTACGAGGCACTTTCGCCGCACATCTGTCAGACAGCAGATTTCCATGGCGCTCGGAAAACAGAATCGGAAAGAGGGAGCAGGGCGACCGTAACCCAGTGGTTTAGGTAAGGGATTCAGGATCGAAAGGTTTAGAGCTCGCGCCCAGCTCACAGCCGCATCCACCAATGGATTTTCATAAGAAAACCTAAGTAAGTATTTATACGGATTTCGCCCAGCACTGTTCTGATTTGGTGTATAAACAGATCCTCACGCTCAGTTAGATATAAGGCCCGTCTCGCAAAGTGCATTGCCATCTAGCGTGAACTTCCAATCCTGATTATATAGGAGCAGTTACTCGTAAATGTTTTCCATTGGGGATACAGCCATAAGGAAGGAAGGAAGGAAGGAAAGACTGAATAGTGGCGGACAGCGCCCAATCAGAACGGAATTTTCATACCCCAGTTCCCCATGGAGCATATTTTAAGAGAAACGGAACGAAATTCCAACCTCATTTTCAATATAAATTTGATATATGGTACTTACCAAAGTTTAATTCAAAATTATATAAAATCTAAAAAATTATTTATCGTTCAGTTATTTTCTACAATATTAATTATCCTAAATCATATTAATTATTAAAAATTAGCTTCTCGTAAAGATAGAATTTGCTCCGTGGGGAACTGGGGCATTAAAACTCGAAGTGGAACGATCCTGATTGGTTGTCCCCACCAATCCGCCTTTCCGATATAGCTTTTCGAGCGCCATGGAACAGTATCCTTACTGTGGCACTTGTTTGTATATATTTTGAATTTTTATTTAATTCTGAAATAATAATTACGCGTCATAAGCGATACTCTCTTTTGAACATAATTGTATTCATAAGCAAGTCCACGTGGATTCTCCAACGTGTCTTCTCGCCCATCTGAAATTTCGGAATTCGTTGGCAGCACCTTCGTGGACCTTCACAGCACAGAGCACGTGGCGTTACTTGCGCGGGACTTTGGTACAATTTATTTTACTTCAATCCATGATCATGTAAGCAACTGCCCACTGAGCTATTCGGCACCCCAAAGTCTATTTGACCTATGTCCATCTAATTCTACTGCAGGCAAAAAGAGTTACTTTGCAAGAATTCATTCGACTACTCTTATACTAGTATC